CTTCCTTCTTACATCCCTGGTTCAGAGAGAGCTATGCGATGCCCAAGGGAGTGGCAGCCGCGATGGCACCTGCCTCCTGCACGTGGCAACAGAAGCAGAAGCCCATTGGTGGTCCTGCTCAAACCCCTCCAACAACGACAGGGTGAGCCCGGGTCGATACCTGCAAAACCCCTTCTACTCGAACTGCTTAGGAAGCTCGGTTCTCCTGCATTAAAATCCCCCATGAAGCACGTGACTCAGAGAATGGAAGGGAGTGGCATTGACAGGAATGGATGGAGTGGAGGAAAATGCCCATCAAAACCCTCCCTGGCCGGGTGGTGGTGGCGCATGCCTTTAATCCCAGCACTCGGGAGGCAGAGCCAGGCGGATCTCTGTGAGTTCGAGGCCAGCCTGGGCTACCAAGCGAGTCCCAGGAAAGGCGCAAAGCTACACAGAGAAACCAAAAAAACAAAAACAAAAACAAAAACAACAACAAAAAACCCTCCCTGGCTCTGGCATGATAGCACATTCCTTTAATCCCAGTTTGGGGGAGGTGGAGGTAGGCAGATCTCTGTGAGTTCAAGGCCAGTCTGGTCTACACATTGAGTTCCAGCCCAACCAGGGCTATGTAGAGAGACTCTGTCTCAAAAAATGAGAAAAACAAAAACCAAAAAGCACTTCCCTATCTACTGCACTGTTGGGTCTTGGTATGTTTGAGTCTCATGCCCTGAGACATCTCACAGCTGAGCAGGGTGATGCCTGGATGACCCTCTGTCATGTGGCCCACTGTGGTTTTACCCGTGTTTGACTCACCTGGAGGAATGAAGGGATATTCTGCAGTGACCAGTGGCAGATGCTGCTGCGTACAACTTCAACGTCATTCCGAGCCAGGCAATCTGAATTAGTGGTGGACTCTGGCATGGGTGTGTGTGTGTGTGCGCACACGCATTTGGTCCTGCAGACAGGGTAGCCCCCCACAACCACCCTCCCCTCAGTACAATGTAGAGACTTGAAGGAACCTCCTTCTGCTAGCCACTCCATTCAGGCCCGTGGAAGGTCTGGGCGTGGCTGTAGGCTGTCACCAGCTTCAACCCTATTCCTCCATTTTATTCTGGAGGCTGGCAGAGAAGAAGGTAACTGTGACAAGGAGCAGGGGTCCCAAGGGTGGGGGCAGGAAGGAGGGGATTACTGCCCAAAGTTTCCTTTGCCTGTGACTTACACTAAGTCAGTGCAGGAGACAGAAGGATCCGGGCTGGCGACATTCTGAGAGGTAGAGGCTCATCTCTGTGCTGAGAGCATGCAGGGCTTCCTAACTGAAGGGAAGCCACATTTGAAAAAGCCTTGAGTTGTGGGGAAAGCAGCTCGCATGCCCTGTGCCTCAGGGCATCTCTGGTGGATGTACTTATTTCTTGGTAGCTCAGGGAAAACATAGGCAGGGCTGGGAGTGTCATCCAGGGGACAAGAAAAAGCACAAGCTAGGTGTGGTGACGCACGCCTTTAATCCCAGCACTTGGGAGGCAGAGGCAGGTGGGTCTCTGTGAGTCTGAGGCTAGCCTGGACTAAAAAGTGAGTTCCAAAACAGCCAGGACTGTTACAGAGAAACCCTGTCTTTTTTTTTTTTTTTTTTTTTAAGGCACAAAGGGTGCTGCTATGTGATTAGGAAGAACTTGGGGGAAATGGGACCCCAGCTGAAGGCTGAGTTCTGAAGTGTCATTGAGTGGCATTCTGTGCGTCTGGTGGGAAGCGATTGTTTTCTAAAGAGTGAATAAAAGAGCAACAACAGAACTGTGGCCCATGGAGAGATGCCTGCGGACCAAAGGCATGATGTTTACATATTTAAAATTTCTGCAAAATGCCACGCTGGTGGCGCACGCCTTTAAGCCCGGCATTTGGGAGGCAGAGGTAGGTGGATCTCTGACTTTGAGGCCAGCCTGGTCTACAGAGTAAGTTCCAGACCAGCCAAAGCTATGTAGTGAGATTCTGTCTTGACGACGACGATGATGATGATGATGATGATGATGATGATGATAAAGATAAAGTAAGATTTGTGCTAAGTGAGTTTTCCAGGAATGGAATTCCTGGTCCACCTAAATTGAATCCCAATTTTACAGAGAGGCTTGGACTAGCACATTTGTCCCCAGCAGGGGGATTTACACAGGAGCCCGGCTTCGGAGAATACTTCATTCTATGTTCTCAGGGTTTGGATGACACACTGATCCAGCTATAGCTAGATCAGGCCCACTGACCACAAGGTAGAGGTGTTAGCATGCCTTTGTGTATCCTGGGGACAGCCACAGTGGGCGTGGGCATTGGTTTTAGTTTATCTGAAAAAGAAACATCAAGGTGGGACTCGGGAGGCTCAGTGGGTACTTAAGAGCCCTTGCTCTTGCAGAGGACCTGGGTTCGGTTCCCAGCACCCACGAGGTGGCTCAGAACCATCTGTCACTCCAGTTCCAGGCAATGTGGTGCCTCTTCTGACCACCATGGGCACCAGGCAGGCACATGCATGTGGTGCACAAACATACACGTAGACATACATACATATGCATACAATAAAATTTGAAAATCTGGAAAAAAAACCATAGCAGTGTCAAGGCAGTGAACTCCAAGTACATGAGAACGTCTCTTTCTTTTTCTTTCTTCCTTCCTTCCTTCCTTCCTTCCTTCCTTTCTTTCTTTCTTTCTTTCTTTCTTTCTTTCTTTCTTTCTTTCTTTCTTTCTTTCTTTCTGTTTTCCAAATTGTTATTCTATACACAAATAAATAGTATTCTTGTGCTTAGCCCTATCACCCAGGACACACAGCTCTTGACAGGGACACCCACATGAGCAGGCTCAGCAGCGGCTTGAGTTTTGGTAGCACCGAACACCAACACCGTGCATAGTCCTCTCCTGCTGGAGCCAACCTAGTCTGCTCTTGATTCTCTCTGAGATGCAAGGTTGTGGTGAAACTAAGATTAGAATGAGACAGTGTTACATTTGGAAAAACTTGCCGCCTAATCCGAACCAGAGACAGAGCGCTATCTCCATGAGGCCCTTCCATACACAGGGTGATTGTTAACTGCTCCCTCTCTCAGCTTCAAAGACTCTCACAAGGGCCCTCCGCAGCCTTTGATGACACAATGCCACCCACTGTGGCTTCCTCTCAGCAGGCCTTCCTGCCTCTCCTGAGAAGTCTGGGGGAAGCTGCTCTATCCAGGGTCCAGGACTAACTGGGGAGCTGGAGACAAAGGCAGACAGACCTGCCACCTGTTCAGAAGTTTCCCAGCTCCAGGAGGTCCTCCTAGCTGCAAGCCCCGACTCACAGGGAGGGGGTGGGTGACCAGAGCCCAGTCCCTCCCTAGGACTCCCTTGGCGGCATCCTGCCCCTTGCCCCCCTCCGCTCCCTGCCTGCATCCTGAGAAGAAAAGGACAGCCCCCCTTGCCGGCAACCGAATCACAGAGCCAGAGAAGTGGCTGACTCAACAGCATCAATCCGGAGTGAAAATTCCTTTTTTGGAAGCCAGGCAGTGGCTTCCGAGGAGGGTGGGATCCTGGGGAAGTGATGCAAGTCCAAAGGGGGGCGGGGTGTGCGCTGGGTTCTGAGGCGCTCCCCCCACCCCCCCGCCCCGCCCGGTTCAGGCCACACCCCTTCCCTCCTGGGCTGTCTCTGCAGGGGCTACAGAAGGCGGGTACCCTGCTCCTTTTATAGGGTTGAAATCCACAGGGCATCCGTGTGTGTGAGTAAGTGTGTGTGTGTGTGTGTGTGTGTGTGTGTGTGTGTGTGTGTGTGTGTGTAGGGGTGAGACTCCTAGGCTTAGTCTCTGTTCACAGTGCTGGGACAGGCAAGCAGGAATGAACCTCGCCTCAGAACCACTGTTTTCATGAGTAAAGTCACAGTGGGGTAAACGGCCGGCCGACTCAACAGGATCGGTCTAATAGGAACCGACGTCTCCCAGGCTTGTTACTGTTCACTCGGGGGAAAGGGGAAACAGCATCTCATTTCCTCTGGAGAGTCTCCTCCGTCCTCTGATGACAGGGCAGGGGAAGATACAGCCAGAGACTCCCACACAGGGGCTGAGGGTGACACTTGGGTTTCCTTTGAGCAGTGGGGCCCAGTGATAAAGCTACCTCCAAAGAACCAGGTGATAAACAGGTTCCTCGCAGGGTGCTTTGAGGGCCCATGCCCAGCTGAGCATCAGCTAGAACCCAGAGCCAACAGGGCTTTTGCTTTGGCCGGGGCTCGGCGGAGCTTGGCTCCGGGCCACAAGCGTTCCCTTGGCACCATGGCAGCATTGGCTTCCAACCCAAGTTCCAACAGTTTTGTTTCTTTCTGAAATCCAGGCTGAACCTAACCATCCCCCCCCGCCGCCCCCAAAGGCTCTTTATGCAGATCCTCAAGCTTTAGGGCCTTTGGGGCTCATTAAAAGCATTGATGTGGGCAGGAGCAGGGCAGGGCAGGGGTGGGGCATGGTGGGGCAGGGGCAGCATCCGGGGAAGATGGCTCGGTGGGTGAAATGTTTGCTGAACAAACGTGCAGACCTGAGTCTGGAGGCTTTACAATCAGCGGTTCTCAACCTGGGGGTCCTGACCCCCAGGGGAGGGTCACATAGCAGATATCCCGCATATCAGACAGATATTTACATCCCAATTCATAACACTAGCCAAGTTACAGTTATGAAGTAGCAATGAAATGATTTTATGCCTGGGGGTCACGACCTTATGAGGAACTGTGTTAAAGGGTTGCAGCATTAGGAAGGTTGAGAACCGCCGGTTTACTGTAACATGGATCTACAATCCTAGCACTCACACAGCCAGACGGAGGTGGAGACGAGGGGGCGAGGGAGTGGGGGGGGGGGGGGACGCATGGGGGAGGGGGGGCAGGCACTACACACTCCCAGGACCGTGTGCTAGCCTGGCTTGTATGACTTTCCAAACAAGGTAGAAGGTGAGGACTGATCCCTCGGTTGTCTTCTGACCTCCACACGTGTGCTATGGTGCACAAGTGCCTACACTCACACGTATGAACTCGTACACACACATACATCACTGAGAGGGAAAGATCCTTTTGAAGGAAAAACTAAACCAGCTAAAACCTTGGCTTATGTGGCAAATCATTCCTTTTGCGTTGTGTACTGATAAAGATTAAACAGCAATGGAGCTGGAGCGATGGCTCAGAGGTGAAGAGCTGCTTTTCCCAGGGTCGGTCCTAAGCTCACAACTGTCCATAACTCATCTGGAGAGATCCGACGCCCTCTTCTGGCCTTCTGGGGCACTGCATGCACATGTTGCCTAGACATATATAATGGGCAAAACACGCCCCCCCCAATAATATAATAAAATTAAAAAGAAAGATTAAACAGCAGTGGTATCTGTCTTTATGCCTTTGGCTCTGGTTTTCATTCTGTGTGAAAGTGTGGTCCCCTCCAGAGAGATAAACCTGCAAGGAAGCATGGCAGGTATTAAAGTGACTCTTGTGATCGATTTATTACAACAGGCAAGGATCCAAACAGTCTAATTCATATGCACGCTGCTCCCAGACACTCTGCTGTTAGTCCCATCTGAAGGCCCTTGAAGGCCCCCTCTGTGGTCCCTTTCTCCTGCAGGAATCCTGAGCTCCGCATTGTGTACCACCAAGCCCCCTTCCTTCCCCTGGCATCCCACAGCCTATAAACAAAGGTAGTCAATGTACATGAACGGCATGCACCTGGGCCTCTGGAGCCGAGACCTGTTTACATGAACCAGCCCTTGGTGTTAGGCTTGGGAGATGGCTGCTCTTCTGTATCGCCCAGTACTCGGAGCATGTACGCGCCTGCGTAGACCAGGAACTGTCCTGTCACCTGGGCGGCGTAGGACGCAAATCGCAGCAGACTCCTGCAACAGAACGAGGTGAAAACACTTCAGGTTCTCGGGATTCCGGCCTGGCCAGAGTTGGAATGGTGGGAACGCCTCGCCCCATGCCACCTCACTAAGCTCCAAGGAAGCAGCAATCATGTTGGAGTTGTGACATCCATGGAATATGCCTTTCAGGGCACACAATGTCTGGTAGGCTGCCGGTACTATCCAGGTCCAGCGCTACTTATCAGGGTACACAGCCCTCAAGCCACTTGGATAGGAGCCTAAGTAGGAACTCAAGAGCCCCACAGAGTCCCTGCTACTCCTCAGAGCATGTGCTTGCTATTCGAGGATTCTAGCAGCCTAGGTGGGTGGTTGCTCCATCGCTGCTAGAGTCACCTTGAGGTGACAAGACCAGTCAAGCTCAGGAAAGTTGTAGGAAAAACTGGGATTATGATCCTCTGATCTGGCATGTGGAGGGTAGGTAGCTGGCATGGTCCAGCTTTCTCCTCACAGTGAAGGAACACTTCGCCCTGTCCTAGGCTCTCAAGTCCCGAGACTAAACTAGGTGTTATTTCAGACCAAATCAAACAAAAAGTGTTCCTTCAAGTTCCTCTTCTTTTCCTGGTCTCAAAAGTTTTCACTCCAGCTTAGAAAAGGTCTGGGCAGAATATCCAGGCCAGATTCCATGGTGTGGATGTGTGCGGGCTTGCATGCGTGTGTGTTGCTGGCTGTTGAACCCAGGGCCTCTAACCTGCCTGCCAAGCAGGTGCTCTGCCACTGAACTCTATCCCCAGCTGGACTTGGGGCTTTCTGGTAAGTCTTTGGTCTAAGATTTACACTGAAGACTGTATGGGTCAGATGTGATGACAAGAGAGGATCCAGCCAGGCCTTGTCGTTGAGCCCTGGGGACAGAAGACAAGTGGGGAGAGGCCACTTGTGCCCCACCTGGGTGTTTCCAGACCCCTACAGACACCCCTGGAGACTGTTACCTTAGCATGGCCTTTACACTCGTGCATCGGATGTCATAGGACACTGAGTACATCTCATACATGGTGGCCTTGACGTTGAGGCAGCCGAGAAAGTCCTTGGGATTCAGTCGGTATAGGTCGAAGGTAACTTTGGCTATTCCCGATTTCTTCGGTTGCTTGTAGACTGGGACATACTTACTGCCCTAGAGCAATGAAGAAGCAAAGATCGACACTGGCCAAGACACTCGAACCACACGATTCCGGGGTTGTTGCCAAAGTTAGGGTCTCCTCAACGTCAGCTGTAATTATTCCAGTCACGTTTATAACGGGCCATCATGTTCTACTACAACCATGCCTAAATATGTACTCTTCCCTCATCAACTTCCAGCTTAGCGACTCAGGATGAGTTTGCTTTGGCTTGAAGGACTCGGTGTCTGATGGATAGAGGTGCTTAGGGTCCTGCCTCAGGGTGCAGAGGAGGCTTGCTTGTTTGCGTGGAGCCCTGAAGCTACTCCGTGAGTATGTGAGGACGTGGTCAGCCTCCTCTTGTCATTGACACAAAGCCAGGGAGGAGCAGGAAGCCCTATTTCCGTTTCCTTTCATAAGCAGATCTGACGAAGAAAATGCTGGAACTCTGAGACTTGGGGAACAGGTGGAACAGGCCTCTCTCCGGCTGTCTCCTATTTTCCAGGAACTGCCAAGGAGGAAGGATGACTGTGTGGGAACATTAACCACTGATAGAATCACTCTGTCTACCAGGGACACCAGGTGACCCTTCTGGTTGGGAGGGACATGCACTCTTGGTTTGTAGATAGCTCTACAATGGACTCTGAGGGAACAAAGAAGTCCCAAGATGCAAATGGGGATGGGGCTCAGCAATAGAGAACTCATCTAGCATGTGCAAGGTTTGGGGTTCAAGGACAATCTCCAGTGCTGGAGGTGGGCGTGGGGAGCCAATCTTGGCTCATGAGTGGCTTTCCTAAGTGGTTTTGGCCACATGCCGGTTCCCACTGTATCTGGGGTCAAGCTAAGATGGTGACAGAGTCCCCATGCCTCAGGAACTTCGGGGGTTGGGAGTACTTGAAAACGGAGTGCTGTGGGATGTTCTGTACGGCAAATGTATTGCTCTGATTGGTCAATAAATAAAACACTGATTGGCCAGTGGCTAGGCAGGAAGTATAGGCAGGACTAACAGAGAGGAGAAAAGAAAGAACAGGAAGGCAGAAGGAGTCACTGCCAGCCGCCACCAGGACAAACAGCATGTGAAGATGCCGGTAAGCTACGAGCTACATGGCAAGGTATAGATTTATAGAAATGGATTAATTTAAGCTATAAGAACAGTTAGCAAGAAGCCTGCCATGGCCATACAGTTTGCAAGCAATATAAGTCTCTGTGTTTACTTGGTTGGGTCTGAGCGGCTGTGGGACTGGCAGGTGAGAGAGATTTGTCCTGACTGTGGGCCAGGCAGGAAAACTCTAGCTACAACGGAGTGTTCCATAATGAAAACGATCAAATACATTTGAAACTTAAACATCGATTCCCCTAAAAGTGTGCCAGCCCTTCTTGCTGAAGCCACTGCTGGTGTCCCTCTCTTCCTGCTACCCAGATCACAAGTGACAAGTGATTCTGGTTGTCACCCAGTGTATAATGCACAAGAGGCTCTGCCAGTCCTGTGCCAACTATCCACTATTTGAGAAAGAAACATCATTTAAAAATGCAAGTCTGAGTTGGACATGGTGGTACACATCTTTATTCCCAACACTTCTGAGGCAGAGGCAGCCAGATCTCTGTGAGTTTGAGGCCAGCCTTCTCTACATACATAATCAGGTCAGCCAAGGCTATGCAGACACCCTGTCTCAAAATGAACAAACAATTCATGACTAAGGACTAGAAGGGTGTTAGAGAATATTAAAATTTCAGTATTAATTAATAAAAATCATAAAAAGGGTTTAAATCTATCACCTCCCCCAGCTCTTCTTCGCTGTCTTACAGTGTTTTCTGGCTTTTCAAAGTTTATCTGACTCTCCCTTTAGGCTGTCTTTAGTCTTGGTGCTAAATCAAAATGCCCTCACAATGCTAAGTGCAGGGTACCTCACTCTCTCTGTATATATAGGCTTCTATAACCTGCAGGAAAGGAAGGGCATAACTGGACCCTGTCTTCTTCCAGGGTGGCAGGGAACACCTTCCCATGGGGCTTTGGGGCCCAGAGACTGAGCAAGGGAGACATCTGGTGGCGGCTTCTTGGTTGAAGATTTTGTTGCAATCACAATGGGCCCTGGGGTTAACCTTCCTGAGCTAAGGTGGCAATCTGGACTCTGTGGGGAAGCCACTGTTCTACCTTACAGGAAAATGGCTAAGAAATTCAGTCAGGAAAGGACTCCAGAGTCTTTGATGGGGCTCAGTGACAGAGCATGGAGCTGTGCATATCTGTGAGGGGCTGGCTTCCATCCTCAGCGTCCAACCCTCAAACCAAGCCAGTATTTCAGATTCACGAGTCCTCAGCCAGCCCTGGAATGTGGAAGTCACGATACTCATACTGATGATATCTTGTCATGACTTAGTACTGTGCTACATCTCTTAGATGTCCATTTACTGTGCAGAGCTTAAAAGTGTCACTTTCAAATACACGTCTAAACTCTCCCTTGTATAAACCAACAGCGAACACCTTTTCCAGTGGTGTTAGTTTCCAGTTGCTGTTATAAGTTACCAGAACCTTGGCTTAGATGTCACGGGCTTATACTCTTCTGGTTCCGGGAGCAGGGGTCCTAACCAAGCCTGTGGTCCCTCCTCTTCCTCTGCATCTCATTCTAGCTCTTCTCCCCCTGCTCTCCCACCCCATGAGAGCCCTGTGGTGACACTGGACTCCAGGGTAATTCAGGATGATTTCTCCATCTCAAGACACACATCTACCAAGGCCCTCTGGCCAGGTAAGGTTCTGAGAATAAACGCAGACACTCTGGAAGTCACACAGGTGACCATACCTTCCTCATACAGAAAGCACAGGGGTGGAAGAGCCACTCTGTGGGAGAACACTGGCTTGGTGTGTGGCAAGCCATGGCTAGTTTGTCTCCAGCCCTGCAAACAGTCAAAAGAAAGCCCAGAAGAAAGAATTGGAAGCCGGGAGGTGGTGGCGCACACCTTTAATCCCAGAATTCCGGAGGCAGAAGCAGGGAGATCTCTGTGTGTTTGAGGCCGGCCTGGTCTACAGAGCGAGTTCCAGGATGGTCAGGGAAAAGACGAAGAAGAAAGAAGAAAGAAGGAGTAGGAGGAGAAAGAGGAGAAGGAGGGAGGGGGAAGGATGAGGATGAGGATGAGGATGAGGATGAGGAGGAGGAGGAGGAGGAGGAGGAGGAGGAGGAGGAGGAGGAGAAGAAGAAGAAGAAGAAGAAGAAGAAGAAGAAGAAGAAGAAGAAGAAGAAGAAGAAGAAGAAGAAGAAGAAAGAGGAGCCCACGACTAATCTGTCTTTTCAAAGATTTTCTAATTTGCCCAGTCTACAGGCAATGGTTACCTTTCCTTCTATTTTAAAGACAGCATTTAAGGAGGATGCAGGGATGGCTCTTACAGGGGACCCAGGTTCAGTTCCCAGCACCCACATGGAGGCTCACAACCATCTGTAACTCCAGTTCTAGGGGACCCAATCATCTGGGGGTGCCAAGCACACCCATGATGCACATATGATAAACCAGCCTGCCTCCATCTTGGGCTTGGAAACCATCTTATAGCAAAGTCAAATGAGGTTTGTTCCTGTTTATGATTTAACCTCTGTTTTTTTTCAAGGATTAGCTATGTCCTTACCTGTAACCTTAACTACAAATGATTCTGTACTGCCTTTTCCAGAAAACGACAGCCACGCCTCTGTTTCAGGAGGTTGTTATGACCAACTTGTTATGCTCACGCTATGTTTCTGTAGCCTCACTTATTTGCCTGCCAGGTCCCCCATTTGGAAACCCCCTGCTCCCGACCTATAAAAACCTTTCTTCCCCGTGACCAGTGCTGATAGCTTGATCCCTGCCTTAGGAAGAGGCAGCCCCAGTACACGAATACAACTTGCTTTAATTTGGCCATGATTTGGGTTGGTGGCCTTTCTCCTGGTATCTGTGGGATTAATGCATACATCCATGCAAGCAAAACACTCATACATAAAAATAATCTTTAAAAATTATGAGGTACTTGTGTGCATGTGTACATATATGTGTAATAATAAGACAAAACAAAACATTATCTACCCTAGAGGTCCTGTGTGTCTTTTCTGGTTATCCCACTGCCTCCACAGGAGGAAACCACCTTGGCTGTGCATCTTTCCCGTGAACACTATATTGCTAACTTTGCATAGTCTTGAATTATCTAGAAATGGTTTAATGCAGAAGTTCTCACGGTGTGGTCTGGAGATGGAGGATCAGGCTTAAGCTCTCTCTCGGGTTAAAACTGTTTTCACAATAAATACTAAAGACAGTTGTTCTTCTCTGTTCTCCTAATTCCTGTAGCTTAATGAATCAACATTTTCTTTTTATCTTTTTCTTCTGTTTTTCTTTGGGGGCTAGAGATCCAACCCAGGGTTTTGTGCATGTAAAGTACATCCATCACGAAGCTACACCTCTGTTCCAAGTCAGTATTTTCCAAAGGACCAAAGTATGATGTTTCAAGACCACTCCAATGAAAGATCCTTTCCAAATGTAAAACAGACTGAAGTACTCGGTGGAACAGAGTGACCAACTCCACTGGGAGCTCCTTAGATTCTCCACTGTGGTTGGGTTTTCTGGACCCGGCCCTGTTGACTCTTCATGCAGTATCAGAGCAGAGTATTCTCAGCAGTATGCGGAGACCATCATCAGAGCAGAGTATTCTCAGCAGTATGCAGAGACCTTCAGCACCTCCCCTTTCCTCTCCATTGACACATCTGCAGCCAGGCCGGATTTCCTTCATAGTTCCACCCAAACAATAGAGTGTAGCAGACTGAACACAGAGGTATGTCTGAGAATTATTTATGGTGTGTATGTGTGTGTGTGTGTGTGTGTGTGTGTGTGTGTGTGTGTGTGTGTGTGTGTGTGAGAGAGAGAGAGAGAGAGAGAGAGAGAGAGAGAGAGAGAGAGAGAGAGAGAGAGAATGCCTGCATATACGTATGTGTTCTTACTCAGAGATCAGAAGAGGCATCAGATCCTTTGGAACTGGAGTTACAGATGGTTGTGAGCTGCCATGTGGGTGCTAGGAACTGAATCTGGGTCCTCTGCAAGAGCAGCAAATGCTCTTAATTGCTAAACCATGTGTCCAGCCCCATACCTGAGAATTCAAGAGTCTTCTAGACATTAAAGAGATTTGCAAAAATATGAAAAGTATAATTCCTTGTTCTTGTTTTGGAGAGTGGTCATTTATTTTAAGAAAATATTTTCTTCCTTTTTTCCTCTTTGGTTTTTAGAGACAGGGTTTCTCTGTGTAGCCTTGACTGTCCTGGAACTTGCTGTGTAGACCAGGCTGGCCTTGAACTCACAGAGATCAACTTGCCTCTGCCTCCTGAGTGCTGAGGTGGGATTTAAAGGCTGTGCCACCACTACCCACCCATTGAAAATATTTTTTATTAAAATATGTAGTTCAAACTAACCTTTACTGAGTTATTACTAATTGATACATATCTTTTAATTTCTCACTTTTAATTTTGAATATTGGAAACATCTGTACATGTGGCTTATAGTTTCCCAACCTTGGCACACATGACATTAGGAGCTGGGTGACTGTTTGTTTCCAAGGCTGTGCATTGCAATTTCCATCCTAGACGGTAACAGCTGTGACCTCTCCCCCAGTTTATCATTCTAAGCCGTCTTCAGATATTACTCCATGGCTCCTAAGGGCAAAACATCCCCAGGTAAGAAGCTGTGATTGACAGGTATTTGTTGGCTGTAACCCATGTTAACGACAGATGCCAAAGGTACTTGGAGTCTTCACTACTTTTCATAAGCCCTGAGATGGAAAAGTTTGAAGGTGGGTTGCCTGATGCACGGTCCTAGGCCGCTCTCCCTCAGCACAGCTGTGGGATTCACTCAGCTGGTGCCTGCCGCTGCACTTCACGTGTCTCCAAGGCTGAAGAGCGTTGTATTCAGTAACTGTGCAGTGGCATGTCAGCCTGTGTGAACTGAAATGGACACGCAGTGATGGCTGGGTGACGTCTCCACCCTCCTGCAGCGGATGCGTGATTTGTCACCAGTCTTCACCATCACTCACAAGAGGGACACGGATGGTCTGATATACATCTGCTGTGTAGGTGCTCGCGTGTTCCGGGGGCGTGTGCACAGGCGTGGACCCATGTTGCTAGATCACAGACTGTGTTTCAACTCTGTTGTCTTGAATATCAGTCTGCAGCAGGGGAGGAAAGCTTATCCTATGTCTTGAAGATCAATATCAGTGACTTTGCCTCAGCAAGCGGGCAGAATTGATCGTGGACTAGACCCTCCCACATATTAGACAAAATAAACCTTTCTCCTAAGTTAACTGTCTCAAGTATTTTACTATAGTGACAGAAGGCTGATGAGCACACACACATGAGCACACACACACACACACACACACACACACACACACACACACACACACACACATGACTCAGCCATGCCAGCTTGCCTGGCTTCCTAAGGATGAGGCAGTCAATAGTTACCAGGTCAGCTCTGCTGCCTCAGCCAGGTCATTGGCCAAAGCTTATGCTTCAAAATTATTTGTTTTGAATCATACAGTCTAAATTCAGAGACATCGAATTTTCTAGAAACACTCGAGAATCCTTTTGAGAGTTGTGGCTGTAGCTAGGAGGCGAGTACATTAAGAATATAAGTAAGACATGGCTCGGTCAACACTAAAGTAGACAGTGCATTCGTAGGTAGAATGTCTACCTCGCTGTTTGAGTAGCAAGGCTATACTTACCGGTGTCCATTTCTGTCCCTTTTCCAAGATCATGAAATGTGTGTTGTCCCTTAAGGTCTGAAAGAATTCCTCGGTGTCCACCACAGTACCATCTTCCTCCAGCACCAGCGTGACTAGGCCAGTCGTGATGACCAGGACATCCAAAGTCTAGGTTTGCAAGGAAGCAGAAACACAGGATGAAGGATCTTTCACATGGGACCATCAGTGACGTTTGTGATAAGGTTTCAGGAGGGCTGGTTGTCTGGGATAAAGCGACAGGAGTGAAGAAACCCATTGACTGGTATCTGTGATTCGGCCTTCACTCAGAAAAACAAATGAAGATTTTAAATGGACCTTTCTCTTCCTAAGGAATGAGATAGGTGATGCACTCATATTTACAGTTTCTATGATTGCCTTTATGCAGAGGAATAAGCAGATGGCCCTGCACTCTTGTCCTTTAAGTTCGTGGCCTCGTGCAGCACACCAATCACCTACCTCTTGCTGCAGAGGCTGCACACGGGATGCCCATTTCTCATTTCTGTAGCACCTCTGAGCTGTGCTTCTCTGAGAGTCTATGATGCTTTCTTGTTTGAGAGCACTGTGTTAGTGTGAGGCCTACCTATCCTGGTCACATTTCCCAGGTCTCTATAGTCTCCCTTCTCAAAGAGGGAAAGCAACATTTTCAGTTGCTGGGTGCTGCTAAGGCATTCACCTCAGACCCCCAGTCTTCCATGATGTGGAGAGACAGTGGCACTTTTGTGAAGTGCCTTCACAAAAGACATCCTTCACCACCTCCCCTCAAGGGCCCAAAACCTAGAGAGGGACTGATGAGTTTGATATTCTCATTCTCTCTCTCTCTCTCTCTCTCTCTCTCTCTCTCTCTCTCTCTCTCTCCCTCTTTCTTTGAGACAGGCTCTCTCCATATAGTCCTGGATGTCCTTGAACTGGCTCTATAGACAGGCTGACCTCCAATTCAGAGATCTTCCTGCCAAGTGCTGGGCTTCAAGGTGTGTACGACCATTACCCAGCAGATATACCATCTTTCTTGACTCCTTTGCCTTAACACTGGCTTAGTGACCAGGATTGGACCCTGAGCTAGCCAAGGGCATCTGAGGCTATAACCACCGTACCTTGCTGATAAGCTCCCTCAGGCTGCTGGCCATCACCCCACGCCGGCTGCTTCGGTCATGGTTTGAGACCCGAAAAGGGCGAGCTGGATGCATGAGGGGTGTCAGCAGGGCCTTCTTAGTCTGCAACCCCATGAATGTCAGAGGCCTATGAAGGAGGCACAGGGGAGAACAATCCTTCAGATGAGGGTTTTTAAGAAGATGCTTGAGACACACGCAATAATGCAGTTTTAATATTTGCATCTAAAAGAAAGATGCCTAGGAATTACTAAATGTCACATACATCTATACCTCCGAGGAACAAGCAAGAAACGCATCAATTTAGCATATCTAGGGCTACCCTGGGGTTCGTCCTCAGCCCCCTCTCCAAATTATATTCTGCAAGTACTGAGTCAAAAAATTTTAGGGGCTGGAGAGATGCCTCAAAGAGTAAGAGCACTGGCTGCTCTTTCAGAGGTCCTGAGTTCAATTCCTAGCAACCACATGGTGGATCACAACCATCTATAATAAGATCTGGTGCCCTCTTCTGGCAGTCAGGGATACATGCAGACAGAACACTGTATACATAATAAATAAATAAATCTTTTTTTTTTTTTTTTTTTTTTTTTTAAAAGGAAAGAAGCCAGGCGGTGGTGGCACACGCCTTTAATCCCAGCACTCCGGAGGCAGAGCCAGGCGGATCTCTGTGAGTTCGAGGCCAGCCTGGTCTACCAAGTGAGTTCCAGGAAAGGCACAAAGCTACAAAGAGAAACCCTGTCTTGAAAAACCAAAAAAAAAAAAAAAAAAAGGAAAGAAAAATTAACGCTCCTTAATTAAATTTTTTTAGATTTTTTTATTTGGTTTTTATTTGGTTTAGTTTTTTCAGATTTATTTATTTATTTATTTGTTTGTTTGTTTATTTATTTATTTATTTATTTATTTATTTATTTGGTGCAGTTTTGGTGCCTGTCCTGGATAGACCAGGCTGGCCTCAAACTCACACAGATCTGCCTGACTCTGTCTCCCAAATGCTGGGATTAAAGGCGTGCGCCACCACCGCCCAGCTATTTTTATTTATTTATTTTTTTTGATTAGGTGTAAGACAGTATGTGGGCACGTGAGTATGTGCATGTGAGTGCAGATGCCCACAGAGGTCAGAGGCTCAAATGCCCTGGAGCTGAAATTACAGATGGTTGTGAGCCTCTTGATGTGGGTGCTGGGAACCGAACTCAGGTCCTTTGTAAGAGCAGCCAGTGCTCTTACCCACGGAGCTGTCCTCCAGCCCCAGCAGGCTTGCATTCATATGCTCAGTTCCTTCCCCTTTCAGGTGTACAAACTGGGTGAACGATTTATCCCCCCCCCCCCCCCCCTCGAGACTGCACTGAGGGGAACGAGATAGACCAAAGGGTCCAGGACCTGGTTCTCCCATTGGAAAAACCTTGACACCTGACCAGAGACCTAAATGGTCCCAGCACAGCGGTGGCCCTGGCATATGGTTCCTGAACTTCTGCCTTGATTCGGAGGAGTTGTACCAGGTTTTTGTTACACAACCCGAAGAACAAGATGTTCACATACGGCTGAGCCATCACTAGGGCAAAACTCATGCAACGCTGTCACACCTGGTGACTTGGAAGGCGGGGACTGGGGACTAGCTATGTTTATGCTTCCCGGGCAGAGCTCTAGCTTTGTCCCCAACCTACTCGTACTGTGAAACTTTAACCAGTTGGTCAAGTTCCCCCAAGGAAGAGAAAAGACAGAAGAGTTCTACATCAGGTCAACACCTGTGTGCATTAACAGATTACCAAGAAATTTGTGAGTCCTAGTCATGAGGTAGGCAGTGTCTCGGGGACAGTGGCAGAGGAGAAGAAGGTCATTAAGCAGTGCCAGGTTGGAGTTTTGAATAGACACCCACATTTGGTGGGGCGCGGGGATGGCTTTTGAAATGAGGTCTCACTATGTACTTCAGGGTGACCAGGAACCCCTGAGCTTCTCATATCAGGCTCCTGTGTGCGTTACCACACCTGACTCTCTACCCACAGCTTTCTTACCTTGGTGTCTACCCCGCCAGACATGATCCCTCCCACAGGAGACTCTGAACCTCCCTGTGGAGATGAATCTATCTCCTACTACTGAGTAAGAGACCATTGCTATTACCCATGAGGCCTCTGGAAGCTGGTCACACAGCCCAGGGTCTGCCTGAACATTTCCCTCCCATCTCCACTGCATGCCACTTATTTTCTGAGTCAGAAGCATAACAGGATGAAGTCAGAGACACAAAGGAACAGGGCCATGCTTTCAAATGCCTGGTCTAGCCACTAGCGGTAGAAGGCAGCACATCTTTGCCCTTGTTACCTGGGTCCCAGGTCTCCTCATTGGAAAAAGACGCATGTCTCCTCAAACACCCCCCTCTACACTCCAGTAACCTGACCCAGCTGAAGAGTTCATTGTCTTTTCCCATCTGACAAGATAAGGGCTGGCAATCACTGTGGCCCTCGCTGCCTCTACCTGCCCTCAAGGAAGTCTTCTTGGCTAGGAAAGGACAGTGGATCTTTTGTTCTTAGCCTACTATTTCCTAACCAAGAACTGGCTCATTGCTGGAGATAAGACTCATGGACTAACACACACACACACACACACACACACACACACACACACACACACACACACACTATGGAAATCAAATCCTGCCATTTTGGTCAAGGGTGAGTGCCTTAATGTGTCAAATTATAAAATAATAGGTTCAGTTGATACAACAAATAACAAAACCTTGCAGATTCTCAGGGCTCACTCTATATAGCCTAGTCTGTCTGTGAGCCCTAGGTTCCAAAGAGAGACCCTGTTTCAACCCTCTCTCTCTCTCTCTCTCTCTCTCTCTCTCTCTCTCTCTCTCTCTCAAATCAAGACTATCTTAGAAGACATGAAGGGGTTAAATGCACTTTTATGCACACTAAACCTGCTTAACAAACACGTTGAGTACTGACCACTCCAACTCAACGATCAGTCGGGCCAGGCTGCTAAATGAACATGGCAGGGCATTAAAGAACAGGGTGCAATTCCTGCTCGCTTTGTCGCATAGGAAGGACAGATGCTTCACATCTGGCCACTGGCACATTGCTGAAAGTGGGGTTTCTATTTTCACCCCTAGCCCAATATTCTGACTCGTCAACATTAAGACAGACTGCCCAAAGAAAACTCTTTAGTAGTTAGCAGAGCATAAAGCCCCGGTTCAGTCTTCCTTCCTTGATGGCTCCCCGAAAGCAAAAGAGCAAGACCATGGAGAGACCTCAAAATTCTGCTTTACAACAGAGAAGACAGTTGCTCCCTAATTCCTTGGAAAATGGGTGCAGACAGTTCTATGAAATAGGAAGGAAGTAACTGATTGAAGGAAAAATAATAAGGAAATGGTGTTTAAGGAAGTAGGTTAGTTAGTGGAAATCAGACTTCATAGAATATTCTGGAAAACTGTCAAACATCAGCTCTCCCAGAAGAAGGGGTAACAGGTGAGCTTTGCTTCCTTCCCTGAGGGAACTTATAGAAATATGTGGCACAAAGCAAGAAGCCATAGATAGACAGTTCACGTGGACTTTTCTCCAATAAGATGACTAAACCCTCCCCACATACATACATCTACACGCCAGAGGAAAAAGACCAAAACCAAGATCAAAATCCCCACACTTTAACATCAAGGCCATGACTCTTTCAGACCTCATCTTAGTGACCTACATGTCTTATACAGGAGCCTGATTCCCATGATCCGATGCACCTGAATAAGACCAGTCTCGAGGGGAAACAAAATGCATGTTGTAAAATTTATTGCTTTACAAGATAACGACATGTCCACCAGATTCGGACCCCATATCAAGGGCCTACAAGATGACTAAGTAACTCCTCCATAATTGCTATGGAAGACTTCTATGCCCTCTCAGGCACCTGGGAGCTCGCCTGCTGCCTCTTTGTAGTGTATTTCAATCAATTCCCTCTGCCCTTTGCACCTTTGGTAAATTCTTTTACCGCCTGCACCACTGGCCTTGCCTCCCATTCCACATGGACGTCTATAAAAAGCTTTCTCTGTGTGCCTCCCACGGGATGAAGTTTATCCTGAAAGTGCTGGAGGAAAGGCCCTGGAACCAGGGCTTGGAGAGAAATACAGCTGTCTCTCAGTATCCTCAGGGGGTGGGTTCCAGGAGCTCCAGTATCCCCAAATCCACAGATGCTCACGCCCCTTATATAAGATGTAGAATTTGTAGAACCTACACCTATACCCAACACAATGTAAATGGCTGCTTTACTCTATCCAGAGCGGGGAAGGAAAAGACCAAGTCTGCACAGGAGCAACCAAAAAATACAGCTGTTTTCAAGAGCCATAGATAGTGGTGCACACCTGCACCCTTGGGAGGCACACACCTGCAGCATCAGGGGGCACACACCTGCACCCTCAGGGAGCACACACCTGCACCCTTAGGAGGCACACACCTGCACCCTCAGGGGGCGCACACCTGCACCCTCAGGAGGCACACACCTGCACCCTCAGGTGGTACAGATCTGCAGCTGGTACAAAATGACTGCACTCTCAGTACCTGAAGAGGCAGAAGCAGGCAGATCACAAGTTAGAGACCAGCCTGGGCTACCTGGGGAAATCTAGACTAAATATCAAGAAAAGCAACCAACCTACCCCCTCTCCAAACAAAATCAATCAATCACCTATTTTTCCCCCTGCAGTTGGTAGAATCCTTGGAGGCAGATGTCATAGGTGTGGAGGCCAGCCGTACTGTGGTGTTATTAGTGACAGAAACTATTCAGGGATCCTCCATAGCTGCTGTATGTCTCAGTGTTGTTCAGAAAATGAGAAATGCATGTGAGGAAAGTAAAGGGCGGAACTTCATCAGCCAAACACCGCGGGGGCAAGAATATGTGATAGCATTAATTAGGCCATGGTGAGGTCAAACACCGGGAAGCAGAGAGAGGAGGCAATGATTGAGGAGTGTCCATCAGGCTTAGGGAGGTGTCTATGCACTGTGGGGCAGCATCCAAGGGTAGCAGGGCCCAATGGCAAGTGTCAGCAAATTAGGCTTCCCATCGCCAAGCTCCTTGTAGATAGCACACACGGTTTGGAACATGCCTGCCCAGAAGTCTGAACACAGGCTGCCTGACCTGAGTCTATTCTTAGCGACCTAACAGAATGCTTGGTATAAAGGGCATAGAACACAAGACCGAAGCCTTTGAACACTTTGTAACATTATTATAAAAGGAGGTTTGGTTCCAGAAACAGAAACCTGGAGATTTGCTTGCAGCAAACTTGTTATCTTTCTAATATCACCAGGGATGCCAGTATAAATTCTAAACTGGAAGAGCAGCTGTGCAAAACCAAGTTCCTTATAAAAGCAAAGACACTCCAATTCTTTTTTGAGTGATACTAGAGATGGAGCCCATGGTCTCAGACTTGCTAGGCACTCTCTGTACCACCCAGCAGCACCCAGCCACAGAAGCTCCAAATAATTACAAATGCTCATGGTGCCCTTTCAGAGTAAATATCAGCTTGGTAAGAACTTCAGAGTTTGGCCAAAGTAGATTTTGTCTGTAGGTGATAATAAACACCTACAAATATCCAGAGCTTTGCTAGAAGATTCCAGGCCTCTTTCCTTATTACCATGGTCTCCAGTGGTTACAACCTGCCAACAAGCTGTTTAAGAATGTGCATTAGGGACTGGAGAGATAAGAGTGCATACTGCTCTTAAGAAGGACTCACGTTTGGTCCTTCTCAAGAAATTTTTAAAAAATCGATAAAGAAGAATTAGTATTTTGTGTGAATGTGGTGTGTGGACACACACCTGTGGGCACACTCACAGGCTGAAGGGGGCCATTGGGTGTCCTGCTTTACAGTCTCTCTGCTTTGTTCTTTTGAGACAAGGTCTTTGGCTGAGGCTAGAGCTAGGCTGGTGGCCAGTGAGCCCCAGCCATCCTCCTCTCTGTTCCCACAGGGCTGGGGTTCCGGGTGCCTGTGGTCATGCCTGACTTTACATCAGGATGCTGGGACCTGAACCCAGGTCTTCAGGCTTATGAAGAAGCACTCCTACCCCACTCCAAGCTATTTCTCCTGCTTCATACTTGTTTGCAAGTATCCCTTCTCTCCCATCTCTGCCCAGGGCTTTCTCTAAGCCAGTCACACACACCACCACTGAGCCACACCCTCGGTACAATATCTAACTTTTTCATAAGGTGTTTATTGATTAAGTTACCTCCCTGGGAGAATCCTGTTATTAACTAATGAACGACAACCACTGTGCTGGGCTATTTAAACTCACTGAAAGGAAGCAGAAACACAGCTAGACTGCAAAGAACATACAGTGGACCTTGCCTGTGGCTCTTTAGCCTGGATAGGATTTTAAGGAAGGGTGGGGAAGGGGAAAAAAATATTTTCCCTCCAGCAAGTATTCTAGGTTGTTTTCTTCCTGTTTGGGTTGGAATGGGTTGGAATCAAGTTGTGCCAAAGGGTCAGGGCGGGCTGGTCTGGAAGTAGGTTATTACTTTGAGAACTGAAGCAAGTTGGTCACTAACAAAAAGGCATGAACTCCTGGGGCTTGCCAGGCGGGAATGGAGGGCGTCACAGATCATATCTTCTCCAGTGTTTTGATCTGGGGAGTCACTTCCACCTCACACATGACACCACGGAGACGCACCCAGATACATTTTGGATTTCCGCGAACTGTTGCGTGGTTAGACACAAGGGTAAGCTCGGCCTTCATGCCTCCCACTCTGAGGCCAACTGGCAACTGTTTGGTGTAACCTCGGCCCTTGAAAAAAAACCACAGAGTCACTGCTCTGGTCCTTGAGTTTAAAAGTGTTGGGGAGGCAGAAGGCATGTCTAGCTGTGAAGGTGGTAAAGAGAAGCCCCTGGATCAGTGTGAGCCGCCGGACAAGAGGGATGGGGAAAAACAAGGTTTCCCAGAACAAGCACAGATAGGGAGGGCCCCGGGGAGTTAAAGGGGAAGGCTGGGGCCAGTGAGGCAGGCTGCAGGTGGAATTAAGAGATCTGGCAAAGAGCCGTTCTCACGCTGTGAAGCTGCCCCATGATCCTCTCCATTTAAACATCCATGTTCCTCCCACACATCTCCTGCCGCTGATAGCTAGAATGCAGTGTTCTTTGGGAGCCTTTACAAGTCCCCTGATGCCCCTAAAGTTAAGTTTTGTTTTGTTTTGTTTCAAGAGGAAGTAGCTGCTGTGCCCGAAGAGCACCCTTTTCATTTTGTTAGCTGCTTTTCTCGCCTTGTGAATTGACACCCAGTTTCCCCTAGGAGCCTGTCTCATAAGCTGCTGGACAGCACCTACGGTTGGTAACCCTAGTCTTCCTCATCCACATTTCTCTGCAAGAGGTACTCTGTGGGGCCTGCATTTTTATGCACTTGGGTCTCTTCATCCTTTAGCAGTATTTTCACCATCAAGATCTCACTGTTTAACCGGTTCTGTAAAGTCGCTGCCATGCAGCCGGTCTCGACTCTGAAAGCCAGTCATCTGGACGGAAGAATCAGAGGCAGGAGGATTATGAGTTGAGACCAGCCTGAACGATGTAGCTAGTTCTAAGCTAGGCTGGGCCTTGGAGGGAGACCCTGTGTGTCTGTCAGCCTTTCTTTCTCTGTCTATATGTTTCTAATTCCTTCTCTCTGGGACTTATTCTCGATCTCTGTGTCTCTCCTCCTCACTGTCTCTCATTCCCTGTCTCTGTGTCTCTGTCTGTGTGTCTCTCCGGGTCTCTGTCTCTTTCTTACACAGACATACACACACCCCTCTGCCTCATAACGTCTGGGATAGTATCGAGAACTAGTATGTTCCATCAGCATATGGAGATAAACCGAAGGGGAGTGATGCCAGTGGCTTGAGCAAGGCCTAGATGTGGGGTTGGCTGGGAGCCAAAACTGCCCTGGGAAACCTGGGTGAGCCCAGCCTCCCCTGGGTAGGCAGAGCCCATGCTCACCCGAAGTACCTAAGCCGGGACTCTCTCCCCTTAACCCCCAACTCGGTTCTCAGTCCAGGACCCGGAGAAGCCCTGTCCCTCCAGCATGCCAGGGTTTGTGACCATAGTCTGTAGGAGTTGCAAGAGATGCAGCCGCCCCCGCGCGCGCCCACCACTGCCCCTTGTCTCGCGGACTCCCCCGCACCTCGGGAGCGCCCCACCGGGCACCTGCGACCCTCTGCGGGAGGAACCTTGGGCTGCTGGGCGGGTGGGCGCTGGCTGGCGAGGGTGGGGACTAGGCCCGGGGGCTTGGACTTGCAGGGGGACCCTAACCGAGGGAGCGGAGGCAGGGAACGGATGGGGTGTGCGAGGGAGGAGGAGCTCGGGTTCAAGAGAACGCACGGGGAGAGAGTGACTTGGGACGCAGGAGGACCCGGGGAGCAGAGGAAATGGAGACGAGCGAGCGGGGTACCCCGGGCGCAGGGGGTGGCGGGGTGCACTCGCCTGATGAGGGCTCCCGCGTAGTCCCTGGCGGTCTCCATTGGCGCGGGTCGTCCAACCGTGCCCAGGCCGGGCCCTCTTAAAGCACTGCCCTGTCCGCCCCGCCCCGCGGCGACTTGACCCGACCCGGCCCGGACCTTGGCGACCGACAGCGCTTCTGCCAGCAGCAAACAGTTCTGGCTCCCACGCCTGGGTCCCGGGGCCACGCCCCTTCGTGGGCAAACGGTACCGAGGGCCCCGGAAGCCCAGATTTGGGGGTGTTGGTGGCTATTGTCAGTTCGTTTGTCTTTCTCCTCTGGAGGCTGGGGTAACTGGCGACATTACCACGGCCAGCCGCATCGCTGGACCGTGGAAAAGCAGGTGTGCTTGGGGGCGAGCGGAGTGCCCGAACCCACTGTCTTCAGGCTGGAGTCTCCAGAGCCCGACTCGGGGCTGGGCGACTGGCCAGCGACTTCCCGGGGGACAGGGGGAAGTGGCCGGGGATACGCGGAAGCGCAGCACTTCGGGTTCTCGGAGGTGCCAGGGCTTCCGTGTGGGTTAAGATGACAATTAGGTAGAGGGAGAGGAGGAAGCATCCGACTGCCACTATTCATTACTAGAGTTGTAGGTTGGCTTCTGAGAGACGGGAAGGGAAGCTCACAACTGATGGGGCCAGGAGAGGTTTCCGCTCGCAGTGAGCACAGGCTGCCCCACGCCCTCGAGGAGCCGAGTGGATGGGCATGCACCGGCGCTCGGCTGCGAAGACGACCTTCTTCGCAAGCTGTGAACTCTGGAACTGGAGAGTTGCTGGAAGATCCTTTCCGCTCAGCATCGCTGGCCAGGAGCTTTTGGTACTGTGTTCCAGGCGTGATCTCTCGCCCTCTTCTTCAGGCTGCTCCTTCTTTGGGAGTCCTCGGTGTCAACAAACCTCACCTGACCCGCAGGAAAATAGAAGCCAAAAGCAATTTCCGGTGAACGCCCTGCAGGAGGCTCCCAGAGCAGCCTGTCCAGCCCGGAGCTATGGCGCTGGACAAAGCCACCTGAGGTCATTAGCGGACCCTCCCATTGATACTTCACCTAGGAGGTGAGACCATGGGACCAATCAATTCAAATCACCTTTACGAAAATGCCCTTCTGTAGAGAAATTCTAATGTCCAGACACACAGGGCATCGGAGTGAACATCTGCTCAGCCAGGTTCAGATGTCTTTGCTTGTCTGTTTAAACACCTTCGATTGAAGTCCTTAGCCTCTCCCTGTGCCTCCCTCCCCACACCCTCTGTAGACCAGGCTGGCCTCTCGCTCACAGATAAAGACCTCCTGTCTCTACCTCTTGAGTGTTGTGCTTAAAGGTTTGTGTCACGACCCCCAGTAAACTTGTATTTTATTTTATTTTTTCAAGACAGGGTTTCTCTGTGTTACAGCTCTGACTGTCCTGGAACTCACTTTGTAGACCAGGCTGGCCTCGAACTCACAGAGATCCGCCTGCCTCTGCCTCCCTAGTGCTGGGATTAAAGGCCTGTGCCACCATCACCCTGGCTAAATTTGCATTTCTTAAAAAAAAGTTCTCTCAGGGCTGGAGAGATGTAAGTTTGCATCCCAGTACTCACATAAAAACCTGGGGGGAGGGGCCAGGCATAGTAGTACATGCCTTTCATCCCAACACTTGGAAGACAGAGGCAGGAGGATCTCTGTGAGTTCGAGGCTAGCCATGTCTACATAGTGAGTTCCAGGACAGCCAGGGCTGTGTAGAGAAACCCTGTCTCCGGGCGGTGGTGGCTCACGCCTTTAATCCCAGCACTCGGGAGGCAGAGCCAGGCGGATCTCTGTGAGTTCGAGGCCAGCCTGGGCTACCAAGTGAGTTCCAGGAAAGGCGCAAAGCTACACAGAGAAACCCTGTGTCGAAAAAAAAAAAAAAAAAAAAAAAAAAAAAGAGAAACCCTGTCTCAAAAACAAAAACCCAACCAAACAAAAACACAAACAAACCAAAACTGGGGGAAGCTTGGAATGTTCTGGGTAAAGACAGGAGGCTTGTGTGGCTCATTGGCCACCAACCTAGCTCCAGAAATGTGATAGAGCAGGACACTTCCCTTCCGGGGGGGCCCCCCTGCCTCCTCCCCACTTTCACTCTACACACACAGAACAGTGTTTTCCTATCAGGCATGGATGGCACAGGAAATCCAGGAGAAACCTTCCAGCTCCTGATAATATCAGTTGTACACCCACTGAGACTGGCACCAGGCTCCGGTGAACAGTTTCAAGCTGATGGTCGTCACACACAGATGGCCCTGGTTAAACTAAGTGGGCCACAGAACAAAACCAAGACATGAATCTGGGGAGAGGAGCTGATGTGGGGGAGGGGTTTGTGGTTGACAGGGTCAGTGGGAGACAGGAGAGGGTAGGGAATAGAGAGAAGCCAGAAGGTATTATGCAGTGTTTGGAGCTCTCAAATAAGAAAACTAATAAAAATATGAGAAATGTTCCCAAAGATCAGTGGGATCATGCCTAAAAAAAATGATAGTCTGTAGTCTATGCCCTAACCATCCAAGCTAGTTGATTTGAATACATAGGGCACTAGCCATGTACTGGGGGTGAGAGTCTGCAGCGGTCAAGGTCAAGGTCCATGGGGCCTCGCGAGCTGCTTGACTCAAGTCATGTAGACTTGAACACACGTGAACGAATGAGGAGCCATGTAATATCTGAACGCAGATTGAAAAAGGAACAAAGTGAGGAATTCAGTCCCAAGGGCATGTGTAATGATTTTATTAAAAAGGAGAAACGGTATGCCACTAAGGAAACATGCCATTTGCTACAGAGTTAGTGCAAGAGGTTTATTGGGGGGCTGGAGAGATGGCTCAGAGGTTAAGAGCACTGGCTGTTCTTCCAGAGGTCCCGAGTTCAATTCCCAGCAGCCACATGGTGGCTCACAACCATCCATAATGAGATCTGGTGCCCTCTTCTGGCCTGCAGGCAAATGTATGTATAATAAATAAATACATCTTAATAAATAAATAAGAGGTTTATTGGGGGAACAGGAGTGGGAGAGTGAGAGCGAAAGGCCCTCTCGGAGTGGGGACACGAGAGAGGTAGGCAGACAGACAGACAGGCAGGCAGGCAGACAGGAAAGTAAGGAGAGTAAGAGACAAGAAAGGCAAGAGAGAGAACTGTGCTTGGGGGACACTTTTAAGGGGTACACTTGTCACATAGCAGATGGTGGAAAGGCACCTGGAGACAGGTGATGACGTAACTGCCTTGGTGGCCGAGGCAGGCTGCTGCCGTGGAGGGAACTAACATCAAAGAAGCAATGATGTGGTGCTGAGGCTGAAGGAGCTGGAGGTGGAGGAGGAGCTGGAGGTGGAGAAGGAGCTGGAGGTGGAGGAGGAGCTGAGGTGGAGGAGGAACTGGAGGTGGAGGAGGAGCTGGAGGTGGGGAGGCAGTAAGACTGTAGATGTGGGTCCCTTCCCCGACTTCCTCTTCATGCTGTACTGTAAGCTGTAATGTAAACAGAAATCAAAAGCCCTTTCTTGGGCTGGAGAAAGGTTAAGAGCACTGACTGCTCTTCCAGAGGTCCTGAGTTCAATTCCCAGCACCCACATGGTGGCTCACAACCATCTGTAATGAGATCTGGCGCCCTGTTCTGTATACATAATAAATAAATAAATCTTTAAAAAAAAACCCTTTCTTCCCCAAGTTGCTTTTGGTCATGATATTTCTCACAGCAAACTAAGCCCAGGGATGGCACCACCCATCAGGGGCTGGGCCCTCTGCCTTTGATCACTAATTAAGAAAATGTCTTACGATCTCATGGAGGCATTTCCTCAACTGAGGCTCCTTCCTCTCTGGTGACTCTAGATTGTGTCAAGTTGACACACTAAACCAGCCACTACCAGAAGAAAGGCATATTTATGGCCTAGGACGAAAGTGACCATCTGGCTTCACTGTAACTGACTTGTCTTAAGATACCATTGAAGGGTCAGGTGCATCTGTGCGTCTGGGACTAGGTAGAAAACTCCACATACAGTGCTGATGCTTTCTATCTATGTACAGCTTGCTGAGATACTGCAGGACAAACACAGCCAGGGTGACTCCAGGCAGTTGTGGAGGTCACAACTCAAGACGGCTGCCGTTGTGTCAAGGTGACTGCCCCCTCACATAGGAGTGGCACAAACAAGACTGCCACTCAGGAATGCGGGTTGTGTGGAGAAGCCTAGTTCCTCAGGAGCAGGCACGGGAGGAAGAGTTGGGGACCGGCTGTGCAGTCCAGCCTTGTCACTTGCGGGTTGAGGAGGCTCCGTTTGGTTTCAGGCGCCTCTGAGACCAAGACACAGCATTAACACGATGCCGTGGTTCTGAGCGAGGGACAGCAGAAACTTGAAGACGTGTATTTCTGAGGGACTGAGGAGCACCTTCAAGGAAGGCAGACACCTGTGCTTTCCCATCTGTTGATGAATGAGATCAGATGTGGCTATTCAAAGAGAGAAATCGGGGTGAGGTGCAGATATTTATGTTCAGAAAGGCCGGACTGTGGATGGAGCATTGACCAATTGCACTTTAAGTCCCAAGGTAGGTGAGACCGTCACAATCTTTCTCTGGAATTACAACAGCAAGCCTTGGTTCCACGACAGAATGGACAATACCGGAAGGGGGCATTGTTGAGAATGGGAGCGCTAGAGTTGAATGGCTTACTACTTACTAGGTTCAAGCGCTCTACTCTGCCTGAGGCCAGTTACGTTCTGAAGAATTTGTAAAGGAAAGTCACCTCCACTGTCCTACTTGAGAGCCCTGGGGAGTAAATGTGGGTGAGTAAGGCCAGGGGAGGCAGGGTGGAGAGGTGGGGGTGGTCAGGACATTTGTAATAAGATCCCTTGTTCCATACAGTTATTTCTTCAACTGACTGCTCTTCCAGTGGACGGGGGTTCAATTCCCAGCACCCGCGTGGCAGTTGACAGTTGTCTGTAACTCCAAGATCTGACACCCTCACACAGCATACATGCAGGCAAAACACCAATGCTCATAAAATAAAAATAAATTGTTGAAAAAAAAACCTAATATGGAGAGCCAGGTATAATGGTGCACGCCTTTAATCCCAGCATTCAGGAGGAAGAGGCAGGTAGATCTCTGTGAGTTCAAGGCCAGCCTGGTCTACATAGTGAGTTCCAGAACAACCAGGGCTACATAGTGAGATCCTGTGTCAAACAAACTCTTACTATTGGGTCTGGGGATACAGCTCAGACAGTGGTAGGGCCCTTGCCTCGTGTGCTTCAGGTGCTGGGTTCGAAGTCCAGTAACATAGACATGTAAACCAATCCAAAAACCACAAACAAAGCAAAACCAAAACTCAGTACGGAACTGTTACAGGCACTGAATATTTTCACGGCTCCTGGGCAGTGGCCTGCAATCTTTTGGAGTTCAAGGTCACACACATCTAGTGGAGGTCATGGTCCCTCTTACCTAAAGGACTCACATGACCTACCCACCAGCAGCGCGCCAGCACCCAGAAGTCCCTGGAGCTCCGGCTGGAAGCCTGCTCTGCTGGAGGAAGGGTTATCCAGGCGGCTGGCGGACCCTCAGCGGGTGCTATTAATAACCTTGATGCTGGCCTCGCGTTGCCTGGAGCCGCTCTGGTTGTTGCTGCTGCTGGCTTGGGTTTTTGTTCTCCTTCCAAGTGGGGGAACAACGGTGTTCTTTGCTGCTGACTTCAGTGTGAGGTGTTTTTCATTTTGTTTTTTTTTGTGTATCAGGGCTGATGCCAAGTCTTCCTCAACTGAGCAGAGGGCAAAGGGACAGGCTGTGCCAGCACACAGCTCTGCTTTTCTTGTATGAATGTCCTGGCCTTTTAAATAGCACCTTCCTTCCTTCTTCCCTCCCTCCCTCCCTCCCTCTCTTCCTCCCTCCCTCCCTCCCTTCCTTTCTTCCTCCCTCCCTTCCTTCCTTTCTTCCTCCCGCCCTCCCTCCCTCCCTTCCTTTTTTTAAAGATTTATTTATTGTGTATGATGTATGCGTGCTCTATCTGCATATACACCTGCACACCGGAAAAGGGCATCAGATCTCACTATAGATAGCTGTGAGCCACCGTGTGGTTGCTAGGAGTTGAACTCAAGACCTCTGGAAAACAGCTAGTGCTCTTAACCTCTGAGCCACCTCTACAGTCCCA